TGACACTTTCCAAGATGACAGTGAATAAAGTGCGGGACCATGTGGTGACATATCACCATTCATATAAATGAGTGCAAACGTCACTTTTTTGAAGCTGAGGTGCGGTCACTGAACAAACCGTCATGGTGGATGATCCTGACCACTATCATTAGACCCCCATTTATTGGACAGGCACACGAGGATAGAAAGAGGAAATCTTTCATATCACATGACATACCTTTGTCTTCAAAACATGCACATCTAGCAAAGAATCATGCACTTCTCATTTTCAGCAGCTTGATTTCAGTTCATTTCAATCCCATTTCTTTCTTTTACTATTTTTTAAAAACGTTTAGACCACTAGTTTTTGGCAGATATTCAAAAAATGCTACACTTTATAGCAAAAATACAGCTTTCCAGTCATATTGATTCAACTTAATTTCACCCGATATTTTCCTGCTGTGCCCCATCAGTGGGGCCTGCTCCACTGTTTGAGAACACTCATGTCCAGTAAGACTCTTAGAGAAATCTTATCTGCTTTAGCAAAATCCTTTAAACCTCAAAATATAGACACATATAAACGCAGACCATTGGTGACAAAAAATTGTATTTAAATTTATGCAACAAAAACAAATGTTTAACAGATAGTAAAGGTTTAAGAAGGAAAAAGACTCAGAGAGAGATCTAATTTTGAGTCATAGTTTTTTTGATCCACTGGAGCTGTTTATCTGAGAGAAAAGCATACACTCCAGGGTGTGTTTTGTTACCACACTCCTTAGGTCCAAAGGAAGTGATTCCTGTTAGCACATCACTGCACAACAGCGGTCCTCCTGAATCTCCCTGTAGAGAGAATTATAATATGATGGTCACTGAGTGTTTCTTCATTCACAGTGTGTTTATACATCACTCTGCGTTTAATTATAAGTTATTAATAATCTCTGCCTCTCGTCAACAGCATTTCTTTTTCCTGTCCTTCTCCCTCTACCTCCCACTGGTCGAGGCAAATGGCTGCCCCTCCTGAACCTGGCTCTGCTGGAGGTTTCTTCCTGTTAAAAGGCAGTTTTTCCTTCCCACTGTCTCCAAAGTCTTCTGATTGTTGGTGTTTTTTTCTGTATTATTGTACAGTCTTTACCTTACAATGCTTTACGACAACTGTTGTTGTGATATAAATAGAATGGAATAGACTTGAATTTATTTAGTCGTTTATTTTTTCTGATCATTAACAGTTAAAGTGGTAAAAATGATTATCAGGCATACATACCTGACAGGTATCTGCTGTCTCTGAGCCAGCACATATCATGCTGCTGGTGATAACAGGTTCGAGGTTGTAATAGGCACGTGAGTTGCACTTCCCTCTGTTAATCACTGTCACATTGACAGACCTCAGGACATCTGACATTTGCTCGGCTTTGCTTTTAGTTGCTCCCCATCCAGCCACCACACAGATGCTTCCAGCTGCAGGATATTTGACAGCGTTGCCCAACTTGCGCCAATTAACCATCTCAGTTTTCTTCACTTTCTTGTTAAGCTAAAATTTAAGATATAATTACTTAAGCATAGTGAATTCATCATTGCCTTAATAGAATTTTTACAATAAATAAATAAGATAAAATAAAAACAATTAAAAAAACACATTTATTTTAAATGAAACTACTTAAGCCGACTCAACATGAAGTCAGTCTTTAATCACAATCAAAATTGAGAGACTAAAGTCGTAATTCTATTTTGAACAAAAAATTCAAAATACCAGAAGTTTTCAGGATTGTGCAGCTTACACTTACTGTTATATCCTATACAAAATCCACTCTTCCAAGAGGGCATGACAAATGTGGCAATGTGCCTTGACACAACAACTGTAATCTCCACTTTCCCACTCTTTTCTTGAAAAACAGTTTCAAGATTTAAAGATTATCTTGAAATTTCC